CTGAATGCTGCCTCTGTACACGCCTGTCCTCTCTGCACACCCCTCAGCTGCCCTATTGATTTTACACAGCAAATGGAAAAAAAAAAAAAGAAACCAGGGCAGGAAAGGAGCTGTTTTCTGCTAGAGCAGCCCCTGGGGAATCCCAGTGCTGCCAGCCGGGGCTAGTCAGTGGGAAATGGGGGCTGAAAGGCTGCCGTGGGATGTCCTGCACGGAGGAGGCTCTGCGGGGAGGCTGGGGATGCACAGGCACCTCAAGGTGCCCCTGGGGAAACCCTCCGCTCTTGTGGCCTCTGGCACTTGCATGAATCATGGCGCTGTTATTGGTTTCACTGTCTCTGGACTTTCCAAGCTTTTTGAGTCGAAACGCTTGGCACGCCCCAGGCTGCAGGTATTTACCAGGTGCCTGAATCGGGGCTGTTTGCCAGCAGCTCAGCCCAGCCCCGTGTAGCAGGGGTGAAGCCAAAAGTACCAAACCCAGCTCCTGCTTTTGACAGGAGGGTGGGAAATCTCCCAGTGCTTTGGGATCCAAGGAGGGGCGGCTTGGGAGTGAGTGCTGCAGGCTGGGACATGGAAGAACTGGGTTGTATTCCTGATCTGCTGGAGGATGTGCCCATATCTTTGGACAAATCACTTAATCTCTCTATGCCTTAGTTTCCTGTTAGCAAATGATACTCCTTATCTTTCACCTCTCATCTCAGAAGAGGAAAGAGTTTGTCTTTTAGTATGTATCTTATTACAGTTCTTTGTCCGGTGGCTGGGGCCCCACTACCTTGATAGAATAAATAATTAAATTTGGATTAAACGGTCTAATATAATCCTGCCCAGTGGTTACTAAAACACTTGAATGAAAGTTCATTCTGAGCCTGTCTTTCCATTTCCTCATAAGGCCAAGACACAAAGTAATTAGATGTAGACATAGGTTGTTATTGTAGCACAATGACGAAGATCAGTGGTTATTGGTAGGAATGGCTTTTATAATCTAGTTTAATGGTCATTTACCTTTCAGTGACCTTGGTGTCGGGCAAAATTGGCAGCTCTTTTGCGAGGAATGTGCTTCCTCAATGGGGGCTTTGCAAGCTGCTGCATTTTTGGCTCTAGCTTCACATGAACTGGGACAGACACTGCTGCAATGCAAGAGGCTTTCTGTCTGCAAAGAAAGGCCATAGACTCCTGCCAAAAGAAGCCCTTTTCAGTGCTGTCCTACTGCCACTGAATTGCTGCTGAAACAGATCAGTCATGTTTCAAGCAATTCTTTGCTTATTGCTCCAACCAAAGTTGCAACCTTCAGAAAGTGTCTGCTGTGGTCAGAGGGCTGCCCAGGAGTTTCTGTAAAAAGGGTTGTGTTGTCTTGGGGTAAAAGGAGGAAGAACGTCTCTCGTCCTCCACTCAAGTGCATGCAAGAGGAGCTGTTAGTTCTGGTTGTAACTCCCACCCTGTAAGTCCTTCTTACATCAGTAAAGATGTGATATTTCTACATACCTTACAGTTCAGTCCATTCAGTGATGACCATCCACTCACTGCACATGCAAATCAGTCAGGTTTTCCATTGACTATGATGCTCCTACACCTCTCTGTATTTCATGTTGTGAAATCGTATGGGTTTTATCCAGTGACTGATGCCTGTGGCCATGGAGAAGAGCAGGATGTTATGAGTTGTGCTGTGACATCTACTGGTACCCCATAGCTGTGGCCATGCTTTCTAAGGAGATGGATTAGGTCATGTCGTGGGGCTTGAGAGGACTGGATTCAGTAGAGGTATTCACAGTGACCTTGGCTAAGTCTCTTAATTCTTCTGGACCAATCTCAACCTTAGAGCTTATCTCTTGTTTTCCATGAAGTAGGCTGAGTTTTTTCAAGTACTATGGAGGTATTTATTTGAAATGGTGCAAGAAAGATTACTTGAGTCACATTGTACTTGAGGATTCATGAAGAAGTGCTATGAGAGTTGTGAAGAGCAAGGTAGCTGTAGAAGGAGGTTTCTCAAAAGCATCTCTGAGAATTGCACTGCCCTGTGACTCAGTCTTCTGTCTACTTTTGATCTCTCATCTTGCTGCTTACAGCGATTTGATTTTGCAAAGACCTTCCTTGCATCTGTAACTGTTGCCCTGCAGAGCAAGCTTAGCTACAGGAATCATCTCTTTATATGCTCTCATTTCTAAACCGCTAAGATAAGAAGAGCAAAACAATGAAGCCTGGAAGGAGAGCCATTTGTTTCAGGCTGCTTTGGGTAACCACCAACCTGATTTTGCCATGAGCACGTTCAGTACATCATCGCCACAGCATGATAGGTCTTTAGCTGAGAGCAAGCAATGGTTTCCAGCATTCAAAAACCTGAGATGGTCTGATGTACACGAGCTCTCAAGTCTTTCCACTCCTATTCACCTGCTGGGACCTGCTGCAATTCTTGTTTGCACAAAGGATCTTATAGACCCCCACCACATTAATTCTTCTTCTCACATTCAATGCTCCAATAGGTATTAGCTTGTTCTGATATAAGAGAATGAATGCTTACATTCATTTGAATGGCAGTTTATTTTTGCAGGTATCAGGTTTGGATTGGTCATTTCCAACTGAGATCAAAGATACTTTCATAGAAGCAGATGGTTTAGACGCTACTTCTTGCTGAAGAAGAGCAAATGCATCTGTCTTGAGTCCCTGGAGTCTGAAGCCGTTGAAGCCTGATAGAGTCTTTCCACTGACCTCTGTAGCCCCAGGATCACGTCCTAAATGAGCTGCTTTGAGTCATTAGAAGCCTGAATTCAGCTTTGGTGGGCTGGAAAATGTAACCTAGTGTATGGGCTGCGCTATTCATAAGTGCTCGACCCTGTGTATGTGCTAGCTGTGAATGCCTGCGAGAAGAATAAAGTAATTTTCTGCAGTCGTGGGGGTGGAGGAGGGAATGGGAATTATACCCCCTTCCCTGCAAACCCAGTATCGTGACATCCAGCTGTTGGGAGCTGACCTGCTTCTGAAGCTTCGCATTGAGGTTATCTATTTTTTGTGTTGGTTCTTCTGATGTCATCCCTGACATTAGAATGTCCTGTGCACCAGGCCTGACCAGCAGGAACTGACCTCAATTTAAATATTCTGAAGCTGGCCACTGAAGCAGATGAGTGAGTATAGTAAGGCTGTGAGTTTCCTTAAACTTAGAAGAAGCAGGGTACTTGAAGTTTGAGAGAAGCTGGTTACGAGTGTGTTTGACACCAAATGCTCACAGTTCATTGTTTGATGATATCAGTGGCATCTAATATTGTTGTCAACAAATATTGCCTGTTTCCTTACAGTTTATGAGAAAAGCTGCTGTTTCTTGAAATGATTCTTGCTTTCTTTGGGTTGCAGTGGTGTATAGCTGGGCAAAACAGCAGCTAGCAAAAACATTCCAGTTAACACAGCACGATACAGGCATTTTCCATTCTCTGCTGGTCCTAAATCAGACCAGAAGAGAAATAATTTGGTCTAGAGGGTATAAAATGAAGTGTGAAGAACTGCCAGTTGGTAGTCTCCTCTGGAACCATTACTGATTGATCTGGAGTCGTTAGACTGTTTCACAGACAAGCTAGTGAAGATTAATACAGTTTGAGAGCAGCAGCATGTTTTTCAGTTAATGACTAGCAACATAATCCTTTACAGTAAGTAATTTATGCTTTACTTATCGATCTTCTAACATGTATTCACCTGAGGAAGGGTCACCTGGTGGCAAAGATGGGGGAGTAAGAAGGCGACGGCTCTCTCCTGGTCTTACACAGGTGTTCTTTGTGACCTTGGAGGTGGCAGCACTTAAACTTGTTGTGCTTCAGAGGCTTTGCCCTACGAAACCAAAACATTAACACTTCTCTGGTTCGGTGGTGTGTACTGTGACTCACATGGGTGCTACTGGCACACACAGCATGGAAGTGCTGTAAGTAAAGGGAATGGAGCATTGCCCCAGTTAAATTATCCATAGCTTATGTTCCTTGGCCATGATGCCCTTCTTTCCCCTCACAGCTCCTTAGCATCGGGGAGCGATGCTGTGGGGTAGTAGGGGAGCCTTCAAAGGGGAGGAATGGCCCCGGCTGAGTTTTCTGTGCTTTTCCCACACGCCGTCATTCCTGCACAGTGTTTCCTCTCTCCACATAATATTCTGTTATTTCCTCCCTGGAACAGACTCCTGCCACTGCTGCTAATTAGCCTGCGATAAACGTCAACGTGAACAAAAGCAAGCAATTAAACGCCTGTTGCTTCAGTGTGAGCCCTGTCAGAGAAGTGATTTGTCGGTGGCAGAGCCGAGTAGCACCTCCTCAGAAGGAAAACAAACCTATTAGCCTGGCTGGGCTGTGTGCTGGGGAGCGGTGTGTCCGAGTAGCTCATGGTGGGTGCACAGGGATGTCTTTGGCATGGCAGGTTTTCCTGAGGCTGTCTGAGATGCTGCTCAACCTTGGGCCTTCAGTTCACAAAGAGCTCTGTGGTCGCCACACAAGCAAGATGACTTGAGAAGTTACAGAATTATGAATTATGTATGTGGGTTTTTTGGGGTGTGTGTGCGTGCCTCTTTTGGGGACACACACAAAAATGTTTTCAAATCATTAGACCGAGAAATAAGGAGGAGGCTTGGAAAGAGGAACCAGAAAGCAGAGTTTTGGTAGATCCAAATTCAGATGAGGTTTGAATGATGTTTGCAGGGACTCAGGATTCAAGTTTCAAGATCTTGCTAGCTGCTTGGGTGTAATCTCAGCCCTAATGTTCAAAAACCCTCCAGGCTTTTCCCCCTTGACCAAAAAGTCCTATAGGAAGAATAGACATTTACACGTGATTTTACTGGTGTACGAACAGACTAAAGGACTTTTGTTTTGGGACCCACTTTCTTTTCAAAACTAGAGGGAGGGTTCAAGCTGGAAAAATAAATATGAATTATTCATGGGCAGAAAAATGCAGAGGATCTTGGAAGATTCAGAATTAATGTATGTCCTCTTTTGAAACGCCACCCAACTGCTTGCTGACAGTTGTCTCTGTTGCTGTTGCAGCTCTTGAGCAGCTGCTCACTGAACTTGAAGATTTTCTGAGGATATTGGACAAGGAGAACTTGAGCAGCACTGCTGTTGTGAAGAAGAGCTTCCTCTCGGACCTTCTGCGGGTCTACACCAAGTCCAGTGGTATGGGGACCGAGGACGGGGTGGTGGGCTCTCGTGGGAACTGCTGCAGGGCCTTGAAGAAACATTTTCTTGGAGGCGGGTGGGATGGGGAGACATGAAAATCAGAAGGAGAAAATTAAATGGAGATTATTTTTGCAGTGACCTCTAACTGTTTATGTAAAATTACTATGGTTATGTGTCCAGCTTTACAAGCAAAGGATTCCCAAGATTCCTGATACTTTCTGTTTTCCTTATTAAACCTTAAGTTTATTTAATCCACTTTGTAAGATACACAGGATGTACTGTTTGGCCAAGTTAATGTTTAAGTAGAAATTTTAACTTATGGAATTTCCTGACTATAAAGCTTTTAATTTTTCCACTTTTTATTATTGCTTGGGTTTTTTTCTGCACATTGCCTCAACCAACATGCTCTCCTCCAACCATACTCAGCAGAGACGCTTCTTACCTCCTTTGTGTGAAAACTTAGGAACGTGAAAGCAGCGGGTGCATAAAGAGTTCACTCTTCCCTTTGGTTGCAGGTGGCGATGAAGAATATATTTATATGAACAAAGTGACCATCCACAAACAGCAGGGTGACCAGGAGAAACAAGACAAAGGTAGGGAGCTGAGGATTAATGGTTGCCTCATGTCTAATGGGGCGATGAAGGCACACATGGTTAGAGCCTTGCTTTACAGGTGCAAGCCCTTCTGGCAGCTCTGAGGGCCCAGGCAGTTGATGGCATGGGAGGACTGCCATTTTCATTACATTCCTTTGGAAATCACAGTCCTTGCCAACACTGTGAGGTTATTCCTGGAAGTAGCACTTTGGAGGGCATTATTTTGGGATTAAAATGTTGCCTTCTAAGGCTTGCATCTCCAGTGCCTGAAATATTTATGGAAGCCTTCATGTTTCCTTTGGCCACAAAACAAGTCACCTCTTTGAGACCATGAAAGCATGTGTCTTCTTCAGTGTGTTGCTCAGCGCTAGCCCAGAGGGTCTGTCGTCACACCCGTGTGAGGCGAGTTCCTGAGCGCAGCCTGCACCCTTGCCATCTGCGCAGGCAGAACACCTTCATCTCCCAAGGGATGCAAGAGTTCTGGGGTGTACGAGCCAAGAAATTAAACCTAGATAAAATATTCATTTCCAATTTAGATTTCCCAGGTTTTGAATCTGTAACATGGTGAAGAACATAATTCTCTACAAATGACCTTGCTCTTTGAAGTTCATCACAAAGGCTGGTTTTGATAATTGCATAGTGTGAGGTTATTACTGACACACAGCCAAGAGGCTGACCCTGTCCCAAAGTTTCTGATCCAAATAGATGAGACAAGAGGATGCAGCAGTGCAGCCTGCTGTTGAGGTGCTGGTCCTGCAATAGCTGGGGTAGCTCCACTTCTGGAGTTACTTGGTTTGGGTTTATTGTTTTGTGGTGGGGTTTTGTTTGTTTGTTTGTTTGCTTTGTTTCATTTTTTTAGACTACCTGCTGCTGAATTTAGGTTAACTTCAAATACCCCTGAAGGCAAATGTCCTCCCAGATTATGCATGCAGCCCCAATGTGATCACCAGATGGGGCCCTTGGGGTGATGCTATGATGCTCCATAACACATTGCACAGCCTCTCAGTGGGTCCTGGTTACTGAGCAGCAACAGAAACATCTATTTATATAAATTCATTTCGGTGGATAAATCAAGGCTGATCCACCATGCTCAAACACAGAGAAAGTTTCAGACAATTTATTTTTAGAGTTGGTTCTTTTATTTCAGACTTTTCCCTATCAAGGCCATGAGCCTACCCACTCAGTTGCTCCCTGCGGGACCTGGCACTTCTCTCTTTTGCTGTTTTCAACAACCTCCCTATTCCAAGTAAAACTTATGAGTTATTTGGAAATCTTGAAGTCAGTGAGACACATGGATGGGACCTTCGCCACAGCTGCAGCTGGGTGTACAGCCCTGATCCGGCCCCTGTAACTGCACAGGGAGGTCTGTGCCTGCCTGACAGTGGGGGGACCTGCAGGGTCAGGATGAGCAGATGAAGGGGGCCATAGTACCCTCTGGTAACAGGGGGTGTGATATGGACACCCCCCCCCCCGTGACTATGCGATTCCCTTTACCCCTTGTATCTCCTACAGCTCTGCACTTCATTTCACCAACATCCTTCAGTGGGATGTGGTGAGTGGACTTCTGTGGCTGAGGTCAGTGGGACCTCTCATGCCCTGCAGAGTTTCTTCACCACCCTAGCTATGCTCGGGCATGCTCTAGCTGCGCAGGGTGAAATGCTTTCTAAAGTGATAATATATCAGCTCCGAAAGTCCCCTCTGAAAACTGTAACACATGCTATTTCTGCAAAAACCATATTTCACTCACTGCTTCTAATTCCATCAGTAAGGGTTTAAGCTGAACAGTACGCTGCTTTTGAGATTCCTTTTTATGGCACAGTAATTGAATTCACTGCAGTGAGTGATGAAGGCACCATCATTTACTCGATCTCATTTACTCGAGAAGCACAGCAACTCTCTACCCCTCAAGCCTGTGGGGCTCTTCAGTGAGCTGAAGGCATCTCCTTCTGAAGTCAGCATGGAGGGATCAAGGTGCCAGGAGTCTGGGAGGTGAGACCAATGCGCAGTCTAGGGCTCCTGGTGCTGCACACTGCGGTCCTCTTAGCCCAAATGCCTGGAGGGATTCACTATCACAGAGAAAAGAGAGCACAGATAAATAACAGTTTGTAACAGCTGTGAATTTTTAGCAGGCTTTTTGCCTGGTTGTTCTTCCTCCCCTCTTCTAAATTATCTTCAAATTCCAGGTTTTAGAGAGACATCTTTATCAGAACACGCCTGCAAAGTGTTAATGCTTATCTAGGAAAACAAATACTCCTTCCCTCACACCCCAGTAAGGAAACAGTCTGTGATTTGTGGTGCTGATGTGTGTAGCAGGAGCAGAAAAAACATGCTGTGTGGACTCTCCATACAGCAAGCATGCATTTGGTGCTTGTCCCCATAGACTGTGCACAGGAATAGCTTCCCTCTGCAATCCTCAGCACAGAAATCCCATAACATCTCCCAGGGGTCTTGTCAGGATGAGGGTTAAAGGGGTGGTTCTTCCTGCACAGAAAGTGAAAATCTCCATTGCATCCTGCTCTGCTCCTCAGCTGGAGCACATGGGCATGTGTCCATGGAAGTGGGCTGGTTTCCAGCAGGGTGAGGACTGAGGCTGTGGTCTCCATCCTGTGCTCCAAGTATGGTGGGAGGAAGAGGAACTGCTGGTACAGAAATCAAATGGCATTTTCCTGGCATGGTGAGGTGCAGTGGGATGATTGCTAGGTTTGCTGGAGAGTCGAGAACAGATGGCCACCACTTGCAAAGGGCTTGGCAGTGGGTTTTGCTGCTGCAATGATCTCTCTTCTGTGGAACTGAGCATGGGAGGTTCTGCCTGGCACAGGAGGATGTGATTTGGCCTGTCGGTTTCTCTCTGCTAAAAGGCCCCTAAAAAGTTCACTGTGAGGACAACTGTAAAAACAGAGATAATCCCCTCTTGGGCAGTAGCCCACTGAGGCTTTAGGAAATCTCAGTCTTGCTTCTGGTGTCTCCAAAAACATCAGTGGCCTCAGCAGCTGCTGTTGATGAGAAGTGTCTGTCCTGAGAGCACCATCTCGTTGGTTCTTTACAGAAAAGGCCAACCTCCAACAGCACCCTGTAGATATGACTCTGGCAGTATAATTGTGGGGTATTTTGGTAGGTGGATCTCCCCGTGATCAGTCTGTGTCATAGGCTCACCTGCTTTATTCTGTTTGAACCTTACAAGACATCCAGCAGCCCTACTTGCAGGGTGCAAACACCTGCTTGGAGTTGGTATCTATTGATCCATAGGTCTCTGTGTCCTCCTGATTTTCTGAAGTTAGCCAGCACTGACCAGGAGACCTGCGCCAGGGGACAATTTCTCACAAGGGATGTGTTTTGAGCTCTTGCACCATCAGGCCAGGAGCTGGCTGCAGCCTGGCAGGGCAGAGCTGTCATTGTGGCTTCCGAGCCCCAGATACAAATAAAGTAATGTGGTTTCCGGCTTCTATTTTTAAAGCCAGAAATATGCAGTAAAGTTCCTGCCTGTGCCTGCTAACCACTGCTGGGCACTGCAGGGTGCCTTGGGCAGCTTCTGTGTGCACCCAAGGAGTGTGGCTGGAGCATCAGCAGGTGACTAAGGGAGCTAGAGCATCAACTCACTGCAGATTTTGGACACAATTCCGTTAATGTACTGGACTTGTAATATCTGAATACCTCATTTCTCCCAAAGCATTTGGAGGGAGATACTCTGTAAAAGGGGACTTCCCCTCTGCACAGTACCATGCTTTCAAAGTCCTTCATTTTTCAGCCATTGGTGCCTTGCTGCCCCTTGTTCCTGAGCCTTGCTGCCTTGCGCTGTCTCCGAGGTCGTGGGATTTGAGCACTTGTTTGAGGCCACCCAGGAGATCTGTGGTGGGGGAAGAGGGGCTGAACACAAATTTTCTGAGCCTTCAACATACCCTCCAGATACTGAATCACTCCACATTCAGCTGCTTGGAAAATCTGACTTTCCAGAGGCAGAGGCAGGTCGCCTGGACCAGTTCTGCTGCTGCATGCCCTTTCACGTGTTTGAGCTGGGCTGCTTCAAGAGCAACTCTTCCCTCAATAGTACCTAAATTACTGTTCTTGGATGGCTTTGATAAACCTTTGTGCAGCCCAGCTAGGCAGCATCCTTTGCAGTTGGCTCTGGGAGCAGGTTGGTATTGGCTCCAGTTTTCTGGAAAGGCGGCGGAGGTGAGGACAGCCACCGATCTGTCTGCTCACAGCAGCAGGGATCAGAACTAGCAAGGACTAATGTGCTAAGGAAAAACTTGCCCAAAAACTTGCCAGTTCTTCTGTTGGGTTTCCAAGTGCCACATTCCTGGGTATGGCCTGAAATGACATGGTGGCCCTGCAGCACTGCCTGTAATTGCTTCTGCTTCTTACCAAAATAGCACCTTGCTGTTCCTGCACAGCCCCGGGTAGCGAGTGCTCTGCTGGGAAATGCCATGTGCCACCCATCTAATTGTGTTTCTGGCTTGCAGCACTGGATCGGAGAAACTCCTTGACCAATGGAGACTCAGGAGTGCATTTGTCCCCTCCTCAGAAGAGCCTGCCGGACCTCCCCCCTCCAAAGGTATGTTTTGCAAATCTTTTGCCTTCCGCTGCCTAACCCTCAGCCTGGGGATCTGAACCTCTGGAGGCTTCACTTTTCTAACATACTGTGCAGCACAGCTAAATGGAGAGGCCTCTGCCTGTGTATCTTAGTGAGGCAAATAGTCCTGGTGAGCTTTATTAAAAAAAAAAAAAAATAATAAAATTCAACTAGGGGCTCCCCAACATACTGGTTTCCAGCTATACATTTGGTCTTTACGAACACTGTAAGTCAGGGTGCGGTTGGTGCATGCTCTGCAGCTGGCCCAGGAAGGGTGGCTGTGCTCCGGACATCTGGAAACCCCTGTGAGTCCCAAAGCTCATGCACAGAGGGAACAGGCAGCTGTGGGAGCCTCGGGCTTCCCCTGCGTGTGCAGGTGCCCTATGCAAAACGGGCTGTGTTCCCTGCCAGGGAAACCCGCACCCATCGCATGGCGATCCACACTCAAAGAAGGAAGAGAATGGAGGTTTTCCAAAGAACCAAAGATGAGCATGGCTCTTAACTGTTGTTTTGGAAATATCCCCTGAAAACAGCTATGCGCGGGCTGCTGGCATGAGCTTAGAAAAGCCAAAAATCCTCCAGCTGTGGTGTGGTGGGGCAACGTCCAGGCAGCGCCAGGATCTCCCTCACTGGCAGAGACTTGCACAGTTTGGCCATCAGCAGAAATCACATTTTCTTCCAGCTGAAGCACCTGGTGTTGTCTGTGTGCTGGGCAAACACGCCAGGCATTACGCTGGTTGTACAGCCCATGGGTCTGCGAGGAGGAGTCGCCAGCACTGTAGATTTTTCTGTAGGGCAGCTGTAAATCTGGTCATGTAAATACACCATCAGGTTTCAGTGGGATTTTGTCTCCATGCCAGCGAGCCAGCCGGGCTGTCCTCAAGAGACACAGGTCATCCTCAGGACCCCGGATGTTGCTGTTCAGTAGTTGATCCGACGTGGGAATTGCTGTAGCTGGGATTTCGGGATGTGAAAGGAAAGGAGGGCAGGGAGTGTGCATGGGGAGGAGGGGGAGGCGTGGAGGAGGACAGGGTGGTGCATCCCTCAACCACAGAGGAGGATCTGCTCCTTTCCCAGGAAGGAGGACGTCGGGTGAGGCCCCAGGACTTCTTCCCAGAAGGGGCTGTGTGGCTCAGCTGGAGTTAGCTGGAGGAGCTGGGAAAACGAGGGAGTAGGATGCAGTGGAGCCGGCAAACCCGCGGATGCAGTGCAGCTGCCTGCTGGGACCTGCTCTGGCCCTGGGGGGTCTCTGCCCACACAGCCAGCTCAGACACAACGCTGGAGCTGGAGTTGCCTGGGAGCAGCAAGCAGAGTGGGAATCGCTGTTTGGTTTTGGGTTTCTCAAAGCCGGAGGGGGTGGTGGATGTGGCAGGGAGGTGAGCAGGAGTACAGCAGCGTCATGGAGTGAAAGCATAACTGGGGAAGCGGCAGCTGAGCATCCCCAAGGCACCTCTGCTTGTGCTTGGTGTGGCCCAGCTATCGGATAGGGCAATCAGGAAGTTAAATGAGGGAATTAGAAAAAAAAACAGTCTTAGATTTTTAGCTAAGGGTACCTAAGCCATCTGTATTTCTCCCACCTGTTTACCACTAGAGCTTTGGATAAAGCAAGCAAGTACATCCTTGCTGTGAGCATCTGAGTGCCAGTGAGCTGTTGGCAGGAGAGATATCTGGGCATACTTCTAAGAGTGGGGCTGGGAGAGCTTTGATGTGGTCTTGGTTAGCGTGTGGAAATTGCTGCTGTGGGGAAATTAATCTTCCCTGTCTGCATTTGCCACTCCTGGTGCAGGCAGGAGCTGTGGCCACCTGGGCGATGGAGGAGGGAGCACAACTCTTTAAGCGGAAAGGGGGAGGTTAGGAGAAGACCTCGGAATATATCTGGTTTAGCTCTGTGGAGTTTTCTGTGGTTTGGTGATGTTAAGGCACCCTGTGGTGTTGTTCTACACTTGACTTTTGAGGCACAGGAGAAATTTGGTGATAAAGCTCTGCACAGCATATTGTCCCTGGCACTGACAGTCAGTGGGCAACTCAGCAGGGGTGGCCCAGCTGGATCCCACTGATCTCTTTGGATTTGTCCCAAAGCAACCTTTAAGCAACGCGTCCTGCAGGCTGGAGCTCAGACATCAGTGACCCTTCATCTGCAGTAGCCCTGGCAGCTCTACCACTTTCCACAGGCGTCAACCAAGAAAGTCACACGGTGCAGATGCAGATGACTGAGATGGTTTTATTTGCGTGCTCCATTGTGCCGTCATGCAACAGGCAAATCTTCTGCAAGGGCCAGGCTGGGTTAGATAATGCAGTATATACTCTTTGACTTATGCTAGAGACAAACCAACTCCACGCCTTTAGATAAAGAGAAGAGAAAAAATTACAGTTTCTGGGGCAGCGGAGGTGCAGTCCCACCTAGTCCCTGTTGGCTTCCATTGTCTGTAGGAAACAAAGCAGAGCAACTCCCCCCCACCGCTTCTCTGCCACTTGTGGGATGGTATCAAATAAACCCACAGTGTTTCTTTGTGTAGGAAATTTGTTTATGGTTGTGGCACAATGTGAGCTGGCTACACGCAGGAGGCCCCCACAGATGGCAATTGCAGACATTCCTTGGCGAGGGAAGGGATTAAGTAGAGCTGTGGAGTGGCTGGGTTTGTTTCTTTCATAACATATTAGGACAAGTTCCTAAACCTTTAAGTATTTGGAGGCAAGTGTTTTCCGGCAGTGTGTCCTACGTGGCTCTGGAAATCAAGCTCAGAGTCTGCTCACAGCATCTGGCAGACCCACGTAGGAAGGAGTTTTCATCCAAGACTCTTGAGAAGTTTGCGAGGTTGGCAGAGCCATGGGCAGCTTACCCATGCATGAGCAGAGGCGCGTGATTTTGGGCGCTGTGGTCAGGGTACCTCGCTCCCACAGGCTCAGCAGCATCCCCCTTTGTGGGTGGTGGCTGCCCAGAAAATCTTTTCCTTCAAAACTTCCTTTCTGCTTCTGGGCAGCAGTACCTGTTGGTGGAAATACCCAGAGCAGGATGGAGAGCTTTGAACCTACATTTGATGAAGCTGGCATAACCTGCAAAGGGACTGATCCTGCCTTAGACTGCTCTGCAATGCTGGTGCCCAGCTGGCCCCTGTTCTCCAGGCCCCCAGGAGCAATCTTGTGCACCAGCATGAAGGACTGTGCATGATCCGTGACCTCCAACACTGCTGCCTC